TGTTTCGCCTTTCGTTTGGAAGCAACAGAAGGACGCGCCTAAATGACCACTGCAGCTGTGACATTTGTCTGCCCAAACAGAGGTTGTACACCAAAGTTCCCCATAGAACCGGTATTTTGGACGACGTCAAGAAGCGTGAATCCTGCGATTCGTGAACCCCAATCCCGTCACTTGTACTCAAAATCAAAATTTATCAATCTTGGTCCCGTTTACTATGATTCAGAACTTGCTATCGAAACACAGTGGCTGGATGGCTCGTAGCAACTGGCCTTCAATCCCATGTTTCCAGGCATGGCCATAGATTGTTATGCGGGATCCGATTATGGCCCTTCTAGGTAAACAAAGCACATACACCGGATGGGCGAACAATCACCATTTCTAAACTACCTGGTATGGTAAGCATGCTTCAGCCTGACTCTAAGTCATACCGCTCTTCTTGTTCCTTAGAGTCAGTTATTCCGCAACAACTACCATCTAACAATCTGTGTAAACTATTCCCGGAGTGCTTAGTAAGGTAACGTCCAGATAAATGGAACAGTTCCCATGCTCTTCCTTCTTTAACAGCTGTCATACACTACCATTTGATAAACATGTGTTGGGCCACAACATAAGTTTATCGCCTGAAGCTTTAAGCATCTTCGGCCAGATTTAATCGATTCCAGCAGCCTTGCCTCTTCTGAAACATTTAACAGCTTCTAACACTGCATCAAGTGAAAGACCAATATCAATGACCTGCTGCTATTCAGGCGAGTCTTCCTGCGGCTGCTCGGGGTTAAGTTGTTCTTCGAAGTATTCTCGTTATCACGGAAGGATATCCACTTCCTTGGTAAGAAGGCGTCCATTCTTGCTCTTCAGGACTCTCAGACTATCTTCTTTTCATCTCCGAAGCGGCCAGTGGTCTGTCCGAAGACCTTGTTTGCCGCCTGGAAATTCGACTAAAACACCTCACCAAACTTTTCGCAGGAATCAGGCTTCGGAGCCACTCTTCGCACTTCTTTGTACCACATTCGACTTGAAACTCTGCTTCAAAGCCACCTCCTGAATGCAGCCTTCCATGCACTGACAGCCAATTTAACGTCTAATCCACCAGGAAGTTCGTTCTTGACTTCCAGACAGCAAGCCAAATCGTTTTAAACAGCCAGATTCGATGGAAAAACCGAAGTAAGCCGCTTTTAAATAGCTTTCACTTGGTCAGGTTCAAATACTGGGATGTTACAGCCGTCGTGCAACGATGTTTAACATTGTATCCGGTCAAAATCCGATGGAAAGTTTGCTTTTGAAACAGTTTTACCTCGTATTCGCTGCAATGACTCAAAAAGGAGCTGTTTTATTGTCAAATCGAGGACGTCAGCGTCTACAACACAAATTGAAGAGGTGCAACAGAAAAATTGTCGCAGACGCGAAACCGAATAATTATTAGTAGGCAGGAAGTTTGAGTTCAAGACAAAATCAAGAAAAAATAGGCTTGTAGGAAATACGAACAGATATTTCTTCAAAAAAAGTGAAGATATAGACAAGCCACGGTTTGCTACATTTGGTTTATATGAAAAAGTACTACGGTTTAAAGCGCATTACAGTAAATGTTGAACATCAGGTATACAAGAACTTTTCGAATAACAGAATATTACCATTTTCGCGCTAAAGGTGAATAATAAGTTGAAAAAACGCCAATTTTATTCAATCATATCTGAGGCCATCTCATATTTCATCCAGTCCTAGCGTATGTCATCATATCATATTTGTTATATAACAGCTGATGCGGTTCTTTCAGAGTACTCCTTCAGTTTTGTAGATTTTTGCATGACCACTTCCTCGCTTAAGGTACCTTCTGTTCTAGAGGCACATTGTTTCATTCATTGCGTCTTAAATCATTTTATTTAGTTCACTTCAACTTAAATTTCGTTTTTTTTTCAATCCAGATATCTTTTCTGGAAAACAGTCAGTTTCATCCTTCATTATTAACAGAACCCGCATTACCTTTTCTAGACATTGCAGCATCGGCTCTACTATCACAGGAAAAACTCGCACAAGACAGCGTAATTAGAAGTTTTTTCCATTCTGATAAGATGACATCACAATTATATGATGTTGCTTGCATCTTGTTTCTCCTGCCCGCTTCTCAGCTGGTTGCCCCAATGCCACGTATGGCACATTTCTTGCTCAAGAGAATCATTAGTAAAGCTGAATTTTGCTTTTTTTAAGACTCTGACTTGGTACCTGTG